CAGCTCCAGGACCATTGCATTTCATGTATTAAATCATTTTTAATAAACTGTGCTTCATCAGCATGAATGTCCCATATTTGTCAATCTGTAATAAAACTGGTTTGTTACTGCAGATGAGTAATTCCCCAGAGAGCTGCAGATCGTTCTTACTATCTTACTATTTTAATAAGATAAGATAAGATAAGATAAGATAAGATAAGATAAGATAAGATAAGATAAGATAAGATAAGATAAGATGTCTTTATTAGTCCCACAAGGGGAAATTTCATGTTAAGGCTGCCGACCTTTTGCACGCAATGGAGGCGCCATCTTACCCTCCGACCATACATGCATTACACAAAAACATCACATGGGGAAGACAGGTCAGAGAGGTATAACAATGGAAAATGCACCACATGAGGAAAGATAAGGAGAAAAAATAACTCCCCCAGACTGAGCTCTAACGGGGGGTTCAGTTTGAGAACAGAAAAAAAAACACCTCTGCACATAGCACATGAAAAAACTCTTAATACACCAAAGAAACACATGACAAGCAACAGGGGTGGGTAAAGGGTGAGAGACAGCCAGTGTAGACAGTGCATCCGGGCCTGCAGCATAAGCGCTGGCCTCCTTGATCCACCGTCAGCATTGGAGGGGATTTCTCTCTCTTCACCGTGTGTCAGATTCGGTAACTTTCTGAGATCTCTGGCTCTGCTGTACGACTCTTTTCAGGTATTTGGGTTTAAACATCAAAATAATATTGGGATAGTATATTCTTTAAAAAATAATCCAAATTGTTTTTTGCTACTGTTGGAAGGCTTCAGGACCTGCTGCTATAGAAGACACTCTATAGCAGCTTGCAGGTGCTGTGGAGGCACCTGTCTGTGAAATACAACATGTGACAACTCTACAGCTATAACCATCCATCCAAGGAGGCTATCCCAGCACTGCGACAGACTGGCGACCTGTCAAGAGTGTACCCACCTTTCGCCCTATGGTGCTCTAATGACAACTAAATGGACTAAATTAAGTGATGCAGATTCAAATGTATATATTGCGAGACATGATTTTTGATAAGTGCTTTATGGCTTCACAAAACATGAAAAATGCATCAGAACAACAACAAATAAAAATTATAATTCAGCCCTGTGCTTTTAGAAAGGGAAGTGGGCAAAATTGAAAATTTGGTTACTAATATTTGTAGCATCAGATTTTTATTTTGGAGTTTCACTTGATGTGCAATCTTACTGCAGGCCCACAATTATTTTATTGCAAGAAAATGCTCACATTTGTTCAGTCAAATGCACAAAATGTACTTAAGTTCAGGCTGTGAATGTTATGTATTTGTATGTATGTGCTTTACCATAATAAAGTTAAATGTAAAACGAAAGTAAAGTCTAAAGTATTTGTTTGTGCTTGTGTTTTCAACTGAGCACCATCATGCAAAATATCTTGAAATTTGAATCTTGATAGGATGAAGCCCTTGCAATTGAGCTGTCCGATGGACATTTAAATTCACTCAAATTACTCAAATCTTTCATAACTATCACTGATGTACTGTCAGTACTTTCAGTCACCTGAGTTGAGTTCTTCATAGTTGTATTTGACATTTCCTAATATTACCACAAGATGGAGCCATCATGCCACACATTAGCCGGAGGTTAACACAATGAAGCCTTTAACCAATAATTTTGCAATCATTTGCTGGGATTGTTTCAATGTTATGTAAAAATAGTGGGATTATAAAAAGACACTTTGAACTGGAAGATACAAACTCAGACATTTTTAATGCCCCAAGCTGTTGACATATTTTCCAGATGACTGACTAATGACTCTGCTAATGAAAAAATATTGATATCAATTACATTTAATTTAATTACAAAACATTTCAGGCAGAAAATGCCATTAGACTTATTGAATGTAGATGACAGAGTGTTCATTATGTGAATACTTGTAACATAAACCTTCATTTGTCTTAAAGGTACAGAAAATATGGGTTGCTCAGATTGTATATAGTATTAAGACACCCCGTGAAAATAAATAGATTTTAAAAAATATATATTTATATGCACTTAAAGTAGGGAGTTACCATAACAAAATAAAATAAAACAAACCCTAATATATTTATATTGCCCACCAGGCAGTGAAGTGATTGGTCAGTCTTTAGCGTAAATTACCAAGCTGCTGCAGTGCAGGGAAGTACTGCTACTGAATTTTATGTTTAAATTAAGCCATCTAATTACAGACGGTACAAAAAAGATTCTGTTCCTATTGCTTTGAAATTAATTCAATGTGTAGAAGGAGTTAGAAAAAAAAATTCATCTTTAGGCAAATCTTTTGGCACGACAGCCATAGATTACAGTTATTTGTGTCTTCAGCAGTAACCACGGGGCTCCTCATAAAAGCTTATCAACAACTGCAAGTCAGACAGCTAAAGCAATAAAATCTGGTAAATCAGAGTGATAATATATTAGCAGATGTTGAAAGATGTGCTTTTCTTTCAGGAGAACGAAATGCAAATTACAAATTACATCTGCGACTGTCGATCAGTAAAAGTCCTTAGATAGTTCAAGTTTCCCTCCGTTTCATTCTCTTATCAGATTGTTGAGAGTATTTGAAGAAATCTTGTATAAGTTTAAAAATTATTGCCGTAACACAAAGTCACGAACGTCAGAATCATCTGCAAACTTCTGTGGCTCTAGATTAATAAAAGGGGTAATATTAAGTATGTCAATATCTGCAATACAGTTTACACTGTTTAGATAAAAACAGTGAAGCATGCAATTCAACATGTAAGAAGGTGAAAAAAACCTAACAGGAATAACACAAAGCCATATAAGAGAGCATCCCCGGCCTCCTGAGGGTTTTGTCAGTTTAACAGCTGTTGAATGCTAGAGGCATGAAGTGGTAATTTCAGCATTTCTTCTTAAATGCTGTTTTAAAGTCCACCTGCTCCATCAGCTAGAATGCTTTCAATTCAAAATTTAAATTTCTGCTTGCAGACACTGCCTCAAAAACTCTATCACATATTCCTGAATAATCACTGACTAATAACATTAGCTACACTAGGTGCTGAGTAGGAAGGGTTATTTTCATGTTGCCAATTAATCATCTCATCACTATTTAAAATGCTTTTTGCAGCGCTAAACTGCGCAAAGTGTTCTCTGAGAAACTTAATATACATGCTGGACTTATCTGTCTCTTACTGCGCATGCACACAGTCATTCTAGCTGCCAAGCGCAAACTTCTTTGTAATTTTATTTCTTGCATCAGGGTTATTTTAAACAGCACAGTCTACTTTCCATGCATGAGCTTTACTATTCACCACTTACATGCTGTTATCATAGTGCAAGGAACTGTACTCAGTTATATCAGCTTTTGACATTATAAAGAGTTTAAAAAAACAATTGCTTCAATATTTTGTAAAATAGGTATCAGCATAAAGATGCCCTGTCCAAAGCCAAATAACCATACATCAGATAAATTACCTGAGTCCAATGATCTTTTTCCCTTTCTAGAGATATGCCAGCCTCTACTGCAGAGTAGGTACTAAAGTTATATTAGGTTAGGGACCACCTGTCTTACCACTAGGCTATCTAACTTGCAGACAGTTGGGCCCACGGATGACATTCCTGTCCCTTTCAGGGATTCACACTTTGACCCCAGGGGCAGAGGTCTTGTCTCCAAATTGACTCTAGCTGATGCATGCACATTTCTGATAAATGAAGGAGGAGAAGGCATCCATTGATGAAGATATATATAGTATCTGAATCTATACAAACAAATGTATGGGAAAAGAAGATGCTGCAAAGGGTAACTCTATAAACCCTATAAAAGCATGCTGCAACTGTTCACACCAACATAAGCTTCAGGTATTGACCTGTATTTTAAGTGTTGCTTTCAGTTGTCTTGAGGAAAAAGAAAAGCCACGTTTTGGAGCACTACAATACAAACTAACATTACTTTAGATGACAACATGTTGGTACCTTTGCTTATGTAAGAACTTGAGCGCAATTCTTGAGGGAAATAAAAGGAGATGGCTAATGAAAGGAATGTTAGCAAAGGGTTAGCTTAGCTTAGCAGAAAAAAAATAGCTTGAGCCTCTCAGTAGGGGAAAACACCAAACACATGCCACTGCTAATAAAGAAACCACAATTTTTTTATGCTTACTTTATATGCAAATTGTCTTGATTTTATGAAATTAAAGACAAATTGTTTTTCCTTTTTGTTCTATCTTCGTGCTAAGGTAAGTAGCTTCTCTCATATTTAAAGGAAAGTAGCTTCTCTCATATTTAATGATTTTGCACTTTCTCTAATTGTCTGCTAGAAAGCAAATGAAGTATATTTTCTAAATATTCTTACACAATCTTATAAATAGTTGTACTCAGTGTAAAAATTTGCAAATTATTTAGGTTTTACATGGATGCAAGGCTAGATGATTGCTAACTTGTTAAATTCTGAAAAACTGTAGGCATCTATCAAATATATATAATTTAATGTATGTTAGGTGGGTCAGCCATGTATTACCATATATAGCTACATAGCTTACATCTAAGGGAGTACAGCATATCTAACAAAGTATTAAGTGAGGTAAAATAAACCTAAAGATAATCTTTCAAATGCTTGTTGATCTCAATTTTAATGTGAGCATAAAAGGTGATAAGTGAGAGATTAGTCTGACACTGCAAGGAGCTAGATAAAGTGTCAAAAACTTAATCGCCTAGTACTCGTTTCAGTGTATTCTGTATGTGTCCAGCAAAGTTTCAAAAGCTCAACAGGTTTAGTAAGCCTATTAATCTCGTCATCCTGCAAATGTGACCCTTTTCAACATCACATTATCCTGTTTTGTCTCTACCTTAACAAGGTCTCACTCAGGGTGCATCTCTTTTTGAACTCCCCAAGGGTGTCATATCTCCAAAACTCTTCGCTCACTGGAGGGCGTGGGTGACTTGAGTGTCAGGAAAGCTTTGAATAACAGAAAGAGAGAGAGGGGAGAAATAAAAAGGAAAAAAGCCCCACAAGCCCTCAGTCTTCCAGCAGCAAACAGAAGACACAGGAATAACCATGCCTGAGCCAGTCCCTGAAGGTATGCAGATACTTTTTGTAACATCATACTTCATTGTAATTAGTTTAGAGAGTTTCATTATACTGAGGTGTGTTGACTTGAAAAATATAAATAACAGTAAATTCACACGAATGTTGTAGAAATTAATGGATAATGTGAATTGTTCCCTATATTTTGTTTTCATTTTTTCAGTGTTAAATATATAATCATTACATAGTGCACTAAAACTGAGAAATTTTATTTTAAAAATAATATATGCATATTTATTTACACTACACATATCCTATAGGTTGTGAAAAACAAACAAGAGTACTATGAAAGATGGTTTTGTAGTATTTTGTGCAGCATGTCTGCTGTTATGGCAGAAAATACAAGCAGATGACCAAACTTAAATGAGGTGAAAGTGGCTTTGGTATTAATGTTATAGCTACTGGTGAGACTGACCATGAGTTTGAACCCGATATTAATATTACAAAGTGATTGATACAAAATATGATGGAAAATAGCCATCATTTTTTATTGATAAATGAAATAATTCACTATTGATACTACGCATTTGTCAAGGATATTCCCATTTCACCTGTCTGCTTTCTTGTTATCTGTCCATAAAGAAGATTTGAGACGGAGTAAATAATGACGTAGCCAGTTGTTATTACATCACTAGACTGAATATCTTTATGACATCGGAGCACAGATTGCTTTCTTGTTGGCTGAACTGGCAAGCTTCCAGCTGCAGCAGCTCCATAAGCAAATACTGCTGGAGCTTTACGTGAGTCCTATATGAAGGTCAGCTTGTGTCACTGTAGCTGACTCACTTCATAGAACATATACACAGTACTTGTTTTCAATGCAGCATTCAGGGTAAAAAACTGTTGTTGCTATTATATATGATAATCTGCATTTTGGATTATGTAATGCCCAATAGGATAGGGATTTGACATCCTTGATTGCATCATGCCTTCTCATATATAATTGCCTGTTGACCTTCACTACTATCTTCCACATTGACCCATTCAGTATCACCTTAAATCAACCGACTAAGCTGATAGCAGGCTCAGGTTGCAGACAGTCTCAGTTGCCCTGATAGATCTCTTGGGATAGCCGAGTTTTGTAGGGCAAGATTGTGCTGACGGGTGTTGAGCCTCCCAAACCCTTTCCCCCAAGGGGTCTCCCGCTGACCACATTGTGATAGTGAAAGTCATAGGCTTTGCTGGAGTTGTTCACACATTATTCTTAATTCTACTGTGTAATATTTGATTCTGTTTCCCAGCATCTGTCCTTGCCCTAATCCTTTTAAAGATCTAATCATGGCCCTTTTATTTTTATCCCAGAAACCTAACCAGGCACTGCTGTTATTCACCATATAGAGCCACAGTGTTATGAATATGATTCCACTTTGCATACTCTGCCTGCACCACCCACTGCTCTGTCATTCCAAGCCAAACTTAACTGCAAAGCTTCAAATACAAAGATCAGATAACCTGGCACTTTTTCGTTTTTAAGCTGTACTTGGTGCTTCTAGGAAATATTTGACGAAATATATTTTTTTAATACTTTCTCAACTAATACTCTTATTGAAAAGAATTTTGGTGACATTTTGTACCTAGCGTGGAACACCACTATTTACCCACAAACTGAATTACCTTTCACATTTCCACATTAGTTCAAAGATTTTCTGTGCTACTTCACTTAACAGCACTCAGATCACACCCTCAACTAACAGCTAAAAATACTCTGCAGTAAGCCCTGACCTTTTCTACTTTCATAGAGTTTCACACGCCCTGACGTATCGGGTTTTGCCTAACAGTTTTGGAGTCCTGGCTGAGATAAATCATTATGTAATCTGTCATTTTCACCTAAAGAGTTCCTTCTTGGTCTTCAGGTCTGATGCCCTCTTTAATGTGGCACTGCTCCAGAGCAGTCAGTCAAGTGTGTGACAGTTTTCTAGTCAGTGGTTGGAAGCAATGGTATGATCCACGGTCATAATTCCTTTCATCGCTGTGTCCTGATGAAACACGATGAGCACAAGCTGAATCAAAACTGCTCTGTGAAGTTTCTCCAATCCCTCTGCGCTGTTTATCTTCAAAAGGGTTCAAAAACCTCAACTTAAAATGATGAAATGATTAATGTCCACTTGGCGAATGAATACATTTGTCTTTAAGTCACTCTTGATGGCAAAATCTGTGATTTCATAATCCATATAATAAAGTACCACCACTAGAAACCACTGTCACTTCCTCACTGAGTGGCAGAGCTTTCATTAACTGCATATATAACACAATAAGCAGCTTAATCGTCAAAATTTAGCAAGCACATGCAGATATTGTGGCATGAGGCAAGAAAGGTTTTTTTTTTAATCTTTCCTGGCAGCAGTGCTGAAGCAAGACATCAGAGAACGTGTTTGACTGCCTGGTGCAGGGAAACGTCCGGGTTATCCATTTATTATCCATAACCATTCACCACAGTCATTTGGACGACTTCTGCATCAGCTGATGGAGGAATCCAAGCAGTGCATTGATCCAAACTGAATTCAAATAGCAGCAGCAGTGACGGGAAAATTCCCTCTGAAAGTAATACAGTGGCATTCCACAGCTAGCTGTTCAATTTCCAGGCCCCAGAAATCAATTCCTTCAAAGTAAGATGTCCGTGAGTATAGTACAGCTAGCGCAGCCCGTGTTATTGTTTTAACATGTTATATGTTGTTTTACATTATTTTAGTATTGCAGACATTTGACACTAAACAATCATACTTATATCTAGTTTATGTCAGTCATTAAAAATGACTTTTATCCTCTGAGACTTCTCTGAAACTCTGTGTCAGTGTATCAGTGTAAAATTATACAAAGCTGTTTTTGTCAGTCAGCTACATTACAGTATATGTTCATATGCAAAGTAGTTCAAGCATATCAAAATTTAAAAGGGGTTTTCTGGCATCAGGGTGCTTTATATACATTGGCAACTTATCTCTGTGGCTGAATTGTACCTATAAAAGTATGCAGAGCTGTAGAGTTGGTTAGTCTTGTTCAGATTGATTTATTTTTTGTATTGATTCACAAAAGATAAACTTAGAAGGCAGAGATGGATGGCAGTACTAAAGAGAAGCGACTTTCAGCCAAGTTTTCTGAAGCTGTCACTTCAAGTTAGAAGATTTTGACAGGAGTGGACAGACAACTTGTTTAAATGGAGTAATCCTGCCATTTTTTTTTACATTTTTTGACCATCTGTGTAAAGTTGGTGTTTCTGTTTGACAAGTAATGACAAGCTGTTAGGAATTTTTAATAATGCATGAAGTGTAGTACCTAGTTAAACCTAGTTTTTACTTATCCCCAGGTGTCCAGTGTAGTATAATCACCTAGAAATCACAAACAGCGACTACAGAGATGGAGTTGAAACTTATTACACAAATATTACTTTCACAAAAAGCATTCTAGGTCATCAAAATTGGGTTTTAAAAGTATCCTAAGTATCATAAATACAGGTCTGACTCTTACAGAAGCCAAACTCTTTGAATATAAGTCAACAATTCAAAGAGTTATGATTTTTTATAACACCGACCCCTTGCCTCTTGACATACATGCATTAAATAGTGTGACTTCACACTCTTGAGAACAATGTGTCGGCTTCACTGACACATTGTTCCAGTAAACAGTGTCACTTTCTGATCTCTATGCGTGTGTGAAAATGCGCCTCTTTCCTGTCACCTCTGCCAGTTAAAAGCAGTCTTTGCCCGGCCAGAATTATTGGTTGATGACATCTCTGTATTATGTTTATACCAATGAAATGTTTTTATATTTTCACACAAAAATATATATTGTTGTTATTGTTTGTGTGTGCGTCTTTCTTAAATTTATAAATTTATTTTAAAAAAAAGATTTATAAAAAAAATCTTTTTTATAATATATATCACTATGGGCTAATTTTATAGTTTTTTTCTTTGTTTTTTTTTTTTTGTTTTGCTTTGCAACCACTTTTCCAAAGTGCACAATGTCTGTGGCGTCAGGTTTGCGCCACAGACATTGTGCACCAAAATGTCAATAATTGTGTTTGTCATAAGGATAATGTAAGTCTTGTTCTTTTTTTAATATACTTGTATATTAACATCTATCAGCGCATCTTCAAAAGCCTCCTAATTATATGAGTAGCAGAACTGCACATGAAACCACCGAAAGTCTCTGAGGGGACTATTTTGACTGTGAGAAGCAGCTGTTCAGAAGTTCATTACACTGCTTTATCACAGACTTGTTGAAGATGATCAAGATTCTCTCTCCATGTGGACTTACATAGCAGATGCCGGTGCAGATTTACACTCAATGCAGGTCTTAAATCCTCAAACAGGATATATGAAGTATTAAAACCAAAAGCTCGTTTTTCTCTGAATACTATTTCAATTTATATCTGTTTCCAGCTTCTTCTACTGAAAAAAAATTATCAAGCTGTCTCGTTTTTTCCTTTTGTTAGCACAATGTCATATGAGATAATGCAGTTGTAGCATTAAATATAATGTTGTTATGAGGCATGCAGGCATGTATTAGTATTGTATTCTACACATTTAAGATCTTTTAAAAAGAGAAACACAATAAATCATGATTATATTTTCTGTCACAACACCTGTTTTATCCAGAAATTTACAACATGTGGACAGTAAACCACACCAGGTCAAGTTGGAGTGGCTATTCAAGGAAACTTTGTGTAGCTAAGAGAATATGGTATGACTTCAGGGAGGTCATAAGATACCATCCCTGGCCTTTAGCAGCTACTCCAGTGACCCCCAGCAAGACACTGTGGAAGTCGGGTGTATTATAAGCCTCTATTTCCATTGACAAGTTGCTTTTACCATATTTAGGCTTTAACAATCACATTGGATGTGATTGTTAAAGCTACTTTTTAAAAAGTGGCTACTTTGTATGTAAAATGTATCTTCTTACCGTATGCCATATTTAAAATTTACATTCTGGGATTAGTAGCTTCACTAATAAATAAGATACATGGTAAACGTCATCATTTTGTAGAAAGCCATTACCCTCAGACAAACAGGACCTTTAACCATCGTCAGACTAGGTGTTATTAAAGATGCAAAACAGTAAGTCTACTAAAGATATCGTTTTCCCTGAGAGGAAGGATCCTTTGAAAACAGATAAAGGATTCTTAAATGTAACAGATCACAGTACATTTCTATAACTTCTGAATATATTTTTCTAACCCTTTTCCCCTTTTTGTGTTTTTCAGAGAAAACAGCGGTGGGTAAGTAAACTGCTCCACAACTGACCTTTTGCGTGTCTTACATTATCACATGGTGACATGATTATAGCTCTCACATTTTCACTTTTCACTCATATATCATGTCAACTGCATGTATCAGACAGAGGCAGGCTTCAGCTTATAATGGCGTGTAATCAGTGTCCACTGATATTATTTATTCATAAACTTTTTATCAAGCGAGTGAGCATCTTCATTTTATTCCTGCATGCCTACATGCGACTGTGTGGTCTCTATTTTTATCTTATAGTGTTTGAGAATATTTTATGAAATGCATTATGAAATTGTTGTTTAACCAATGTCTTCAAATTATGTAGCCATACAGAAAGAGCTCTGGCAGAAGTGCTTTGGTTTCCACAAGCCATATTTTAGTGTGGCCATGTGTCTCTAATGTTAGTTTTCCTATGGGACTGTCATGGTTTTATTTTTTATTTTTCTATGTCCAACAAACATCCACTAATTGTAGCCCCAGTGGAGGCCGATGAAGAAGAAGAAGAAGGACAATGACTTTCTTTGCTTCTTTTTTTGAGACTTTTGAGGATTTGTGCATTGTTGATAAGTGACACAGAGTGGGTTTGAGTTGAACTGAGTGTTGAAAAATGCATTTTAACTAATCTGTAAAACTAATTACCTGATGAATACAGAACAAATGGTTTTGCTATTGCTAGATAATGAGTTGAGCAATTACTGAGTCAAGAAGACAGGCCTAAAATTCAATCACATCATGAGACAACAGGAAACTGCTGAATGGAATAATGAAATTGTTGTGCCACTCCCATTTAGTGTGTTTGCGTTTTTTAGCTGGCCTATCACATCTCATCACCAGAGCTAACTACAAGCAGACACTTTAATATTACACTGTGATTATGTAAAATCAAGGAAATTACACCATGTTATCTGCACATGAATGCAGTGTATGTCAAAGCAACATGCTTGTTTGTTTATATTCATAACCATTCTAATTAGAAATAATCATCGTCTTTACTCCTTCTTTTGCTTTTCCTTTTCAGAACAACTGTTCTTTTCTTTGTTAATATGAATAGTTTTGGATTGTACAGAAATGAACTGTGTGTGTGAAGCAGACAGGACAAGCTGTCTTTGAGGATTTTAACATAGTTCATTGACTGACTGCAACTGGATGCATTTTCCACATCTGTATACTCTGAGTTCTCACTGTGACCTTTGGTTTGCATTTCACTGCAGGCATGCACTGTATGAGTTTTTGTGAGTTTTTGGTTTTGTTACATTTGCAGCGTTTCCAAATATAACATTTTCCAGGTCTCAACATTTGTTGTTATTAGTTACTTAACCATTATTCATTTTCCCTCTGCCACATCCTGAAGAAGATGTGGTGGTCTATTAGTGTCAGGGAATAATACACTATAAGGACTAAAGTATATCCATTCATCCAGCCATTCCTTTCCTTCCTTTTATGTAATTCAGGGTCACGACACAAAAGCACATACATTATATAATGAAGTATAAAATCAAGGACCTAGGAAGGACATTTCTTACCTCCTGGATAAACCATGATCAACTGTAAATAGTATTATTGCAAAGTCGGGTCGAGTAGGGTCACCGAGTTCTGAGATTGTGCATGAAAGTTTCCATAGCTCTCAGTAGCTCCCGAGCTCCAAATCTCCTCTGCCATGAACATCAGCATAAAAACTGCGCACCAGGAGCTTCCATGCCCTGTAGGTGTAATGTGTAGGTGCCCCAGTGTCTGTCTAATGTACAAAGACATTCTTTTTCACTGCACGTAGTAACTATTTCTAGTGTATATTGGAACTCCAAGTTAATGTCCCTTCATTTTCCTTAGATGCACCTGCTGAAGATGGAGGTAAGGCAGAATCGTGGGAATGAACTGACATGGAGGCACTAAATTTACCTTGAGTGTTATATTTTAATGTATATGCCTGTGGTATCAATTTAATGTCCTCACATATGAGTTCATATGTGACATAATGTGTGAAAATTACAGTATGTGCATGATTCCTTCAGGTTGCAAGTTTGTAGGTTGGTCTCAGGTGATCCTCGCAACTTTTTGTTGTGTATTCTCGAAATGGGCTAAATCTTCTTTTTTTCACAAAGATTTTTCTTCACAGAACTAAGCGATACGTTACCGACTGTAACATATCTGACTGCTGTGCTGTTATGACATGAATAACAGGATTATTCATTTCACATGTTGTGATAATTTTTCTTACCTGGCTCTTTTTTTAATACACTTTATATACATATACCTCATAGTATATGTTATGTGTGAAATTAAAGTGGACCTACTATGCTTTACTTTTTGCCTCTGTACATGGTCATGGTTTCAAATACCGAGGTCACCATATGTACATGTAAGCAGAGCTCTCTAAACTGCTCTGCTATTAGATCTGTATGATGTCATAGGAAGGAAATACACTGCTCTGGTAGTGAGCACACCAGCTCCCACCTGCTTTTCAAATCTTCTTCTTGCAAGGATGAGTTAAGCATTAGAAAGTTTTCTTAAAGGGAGGAAGGTGTTAAAAAGGGAGGAGCTGCTTCAAACAGAGGGTGACCAATGTGGCTGCACCAAGGCCTAGTTTGAAATGAATGAGGGTTGTTTTGAACCATGAAACATGTGGAGCTACTCTAGAAGAGTTTGAAATAAAGCTGGTAATGAGCACAATAGGTCGACTTTAACCTTAAGCTTTATATGCTAAACATGTGAAACACATGTAGCGAGTAAAACTGCACAGTTTTGTTATTTACATCATTTAAAAGTATGTTTCTGTTTCTATTTTTTTAAAAATTCCATAGTTAATGTGTTTATCTACCTAGCAACTCTGAATGTGTTAATAGGAAAATATTTGAATTTGCATATTCAAGGTGGATTGGATGTTAGCGAATTTTAATGAAACATGTGACAGTGCATGGTGCTTGTGTTACAGCCATGTTGCTGTGTTGCTTGGTCTCTGTTGCAGCAATAAGTGGTTTTTGTGCAACAATAAGCATTTTTGCTTCATAGCTGCTTTTTTCAGTTTTGTTTGCTTCCTTGTCTGCAGCAGATACAGAAGCTGATGGAGATGGTAAGAAAAGAGCAGCATTTTATGTTGATGTGTTTGCTGAAACTATAGTTTTCTAAATCATCTGTTTGAGTGTTAAGATTAATATCAGTGAAATATCGGTATTATGTGCTAGTCAAACTGTCACATAATATATCGTTTAGTGAGCCTGGGTCCAGTTTATTAGATGAAATCATTTGATTACTTCAGTTTGGACAGATTTAATGCTTTTTTTAAATTTTTGGAGGTTATTTGTTTTCCTAGCATTTGCATGTGCCTCATTCTGTCTGTAAACGCAATTCTGATAAAACTGTAGAGTTGGGTCATGTTAACAGTCAACAAATGTTTTTCTTACATCCACCAAGGCCTTCAAAATAAACTTTATGATTTCTGGATGAAAATTGACAAAAAGCCTTATAACTTGGAAAGTACAAATCTTAAAAGTATTGTCGACAAAATATCATGTAAAGATTTCACCTCTGACCTCTCCTTTAACATCAATAGTTTGATCTGAAGATCAGTCATAATTATGCCATACAGAGCTATGCTTTACTTTGACCTTTAAGTTCAATTAAGATAAAAAATTTCATAAAATGTATTTTTTTCTTTAAGTTTGTTTAAAATTCTACAGCATAGTTATTATCCAAATATTATGTCATATTTGACCTCTGACCTCATTTTGACATTTCACATCTGCCTTTCTTTCAAGCTGCCTTTAAATGTGCTATATCTTTAAAGAAAGTTAGAAATATACTGTAGTATAATATTTGTTTTTATTCACGTCCAATTATTTACAAATTAATATCTATTAGCCATTATGTGCTCCTCCAAAATATTTATATCAAAATACAATATTCCCCTAAAAGAAAACACTGCCTAGAGAGGGAGCTGCATTGTTGGAGGTTTTGTGGTGCTTTTTATTTTTTCAGTTTTACAACATATATTATTAAAACCAGTTGGTTGCATACAAAACTTCTTTGGATTGAAGTTGTTTGTACACAAGGTTCTTGGTCTGCGATGAGATAGCTGTCTGCCAAGACAAAGTATCACTCACTACAGAGCTCATAAAATGTGCATGAAGCTGTTTGACCAAAATTCTGTGGTATGCCACAGAGCTCCTCTTGGGGATTATAAAAAGAGATTCTACTTCTCTCAGTGCTTATCAGCCATAAGTTTTAAAACAATAACCTAATATTGTACAGTTTCCTCCGACCTGTCATGGGATAGACTTAGCAGGACGGATTCAGTTACCTTCAGAGATCCTGAAGGCACTTGAATACCTTGCTCCTGTCAGGTATAGTAGTAAAGTGTGAGGTAGGGTCTTCATAGTTTTGACTTGTTTTCTGGGTTCATCCCACAGATGTTTAATCAAACTGGGAACTATGGAGTTAACACTCAAAACTCCAATGTTTAATTCATGAACAAATTTGAACGTTCTGCTGTATGCAATGTTTGCCTGAAGGTTTGCCACTTCTGTCAGGTAATAACATTACCATAACTTGTTCTACTTTGTCTGCAACAATGTCGATTGACGGGATATGTGATACGAGTCAAACATGTACACGAATGACACATTTTCTCATCAGAACATTGCCCAGAGCGTCACACTATCGCCACGGGCTTAGCTATTTCCCATGGTGCAGGATTCTAACTTGTCTTCCCGAGAGAAACCCAGACAAACAGATGGTTGCTCGTGGTTTTTTCTGTTTTTCACACACTTTTCACTTTGACTCACTTATTAGGTTTAGGCACTAAATGCCACATATTTATCTTTAGGTAACTATTTGGTTAAGGTTAGGAAAAGTTTAAATTCACCCCATCACACTAGATGGGAGTGACAGGCACAAATATTTGTGCATCATCCATCACCTTAAAGGGCACGTTGTGTCTAACTGCATGGTCCAACCTTCACTCTGTAAGTGAACCTTGGGTGCTAGAAGGTTGTCCTTCTCCTGAAGTCATTGGTTACACTTTGTTTGGCAACCCACGACTGGATCCCAGAATGCTGTCATATTGGATATGTTGAAACCCAGTCAGCTTGGCTCCTTTTTATTTTCTCTTTTCTTCTCTGCCAGCAGTATGTCATCCTGATATGTCAGATCATTTGGTGCCTAACATATCTAATCTCTTGATAGGTGGGAGTGTACAGAGATAATCATGTTATTCACTTTTTCTCCCAGTGTTTTTAAAGATGGCTTGTCTGTGTATCTATCTCAGTAGCAGCTTCAGAAAGAGAAAACACTGTAGGCATCCTAGTGTGTGACAGCGTTCTTATGTCATTCATCCATTTCTGTCCCCTACTGGTGGTATCCACTGATGCTACCAGACAACTCACAGACAAATTATTTTGTTTATGTTCTTTCAGCAATTTAGAATTTGTTTCTCCATGTGAAAATTATTGTCTCTCCATCTGTGACCTATGATACCAACCCTCTTGTGCGTCTGTCCCTCAGGCAATTTAAACAATGAGAGTGGAAACACAGCTGTGGTTCGTGTGCGGCACTCATTGGGGCACAATAGCAGCTGTTGCTGTTAACGTGCCAAGTGTCATCTGATGTTATGACACTTTTTATGGTTGCTTCTCAAATTTAACATCATGCTGTATTAGGAAACTGCAAGGAGAGGTCAGGTAGTGAGGTCATCCAAGACATTATCAAACGCAGTTCCTCCAGAGAGCATGTGATCTGCATATAGGCTCATGTCTTGTCAGCTCAAAGGATCTGAGATGTTTGACTAACTAAACTTCGTTAAAGTGTCATAAAGGCTAAATCTAAAAGTGTTGCTACAGTGCTGCAGCTCAGGTTTTACAAGAAAAATTTAAGAGCTCTTGATACAAAGCTGTCCCCATCTGCCTTAGTGACGCCAGAGTGATCAGTTGAACGTCTGCTCTATTTTGACTAACTAGATCAGGGGTGTCAAACTCAAATACACAGTGGGCCAAAATTCAAAACTGGAACAAAGTCGCGGGCTAACGCTAATATTTATTGAAAAACAAAATCTTCCTCCAGGTATAAGAATGAATCTTTTCTTATGGACTCAAACAAGTTTTGCTGAAAAACTGAATATGGAACAAGCAAAGCTTAATACTAAACGATATATATATTAGCTGTATAATACCAGTAGGCCAGCTCTAATAGTAATTTTGTATGGCTTCGTGGGCCAAATGTAATTAGCCCGCGGGCCAGAGTTTGACACCTATGAACTAGATGGAGATTGCATGGAATGGTTCTGGAAGGGTGAAGGCCCCAGGGAGCTGAAGGGTGCTAATTTCTTGGTGTACTTTTTCAGAAGTGTGCAAAATGTCCAAGACTTGCTGTGCTTAACAGGGAAACACAGCACTTATAAGGGTTTTCCTTTTCCAATTTGAACATCTATGTGTTCTTAGTATGAGGTAAGGTGCAGCATTAGTGGCAACTGAGAAATGTAAATTCTTTCCTGCGGTGTATGTTGTCATATGTTAGGAATATGTTTGGAGTTAAGACTGGCAGACTGGACCTTGGGAGCGATGCCAGTATTACCAGGACGATTGCCAAAGTGTTTCTTTTTTGGACTGTTGGAAATACACAGATGATGGACGTGGAGGTATGCAAAGGAAAGATGAGAAGTCACAGACTCTATCAAACGTGTCAAGACTGTTTTGTGTCCTCACAACAAGGCAGCCATGTAGGGAAGGCTGGTTGCTGTGCTGAATCATACCAGAAAGTAGTGGCCTGCCAAGCAAAAAGTGGGCTAGAGAGTCAATATGAGGTCATGAATAATAAATTGGGCACCTCTATAAATTTCCTGTCAAATGTGGCCAGGGGTGGATGTATGACCACAGTTTTTTCCTTTCCTACCATTCATAAGTGTGCATCTCCTCTGATGTCATGAATGCCCATCGCTGAATGTGGAACTCAGCAAGCTACTCCTGCTGTGACAACATTTGCCTAGAGGGAGGAAAGGTACATTGTACTGCAGATGATCCAGACACAGCTCAGCATGGCACATATATAAGAGAAGAAAGGGTAAGCTTAGTGGTAGAGTGTGAGTGGGAAAAACTGGAGCATGAAACAAAGACAAAAAAACCTTGAACATGTGCAAAACCTTCAAAGGGAAACATAAGAACCACTGATCTTAAGCTGTCGGCCATATTTCACCCCAACACTGGGAGTACAGTTTCTCATCATCACCATCGTCCACCACGAATCCACCAAGCCACACCATTCTGGTTAGCAATACAGACAAACGCAGCCAGGATGAAGATAGAAACAGAGGGAATCTGAAGAAATGTACCAAAATCAGCCTAATGTAGAAGCTATGATGTCTATATCAAATTCTAGACTAATTTATCTTAATAATTCAACATAATGTCACTAAAAAATATATTTTTCATCCTCATTAAGTCAGATCTGAGAAGTCTTTTTTTTTTTCAAAGATCAATGTTATTAATATATCAGGCTGAACAACATCATTGACTCAACACTGTGGCATATGGCTGAGTTTGTGCACTGATTTAGTCATGCAGTAATTACTCAGGGCATTTAAATTTAATTTCAAAGAATCATCAGGGGGGTCAAATATCTTTTGTATACAGTCCACATTTTAAATATAGATTTATAGATTTTTAAAATATTTTCAGGTCTGCCGTTTCTTTGATCCCCTGTCCTGGCTACAGAAAGTTTATTCCACTCCTCTGAGTTGAGTTTGCCTTTAATGTATCTCTTAAGAGTCAATTTCTGTGTGGGAAGTGCTTATCATACCAAGGCTGTTTAAAGCCATGCTCACAGGGGTATAATGTGTGGGGGGATTATCATCACTTGGCCAACTGCAGTTTGTTTCGGGGCTCTCATACTAGTAATGGATGTCTGCAAAAAAGTTACTGCCAATTAAAAAAAAAGTATTGGAATCCAACATTCCCTTGGCTGAATTTATTGCAACAAAATTTATACTAAGTTTATACTACGTATTAGATTTATAACTTATAAGAACAGGATATAAAAATAGATTTTTAAGTTAAATCTAAATCACACCTCAATGATTTATTTGGTGAAGTATGTGAGATTAATGTTGTCGTTTGATTCTATTTAAAAGCAGTATATAAATGATAAATTCAAGTTCTTTTAATTTTTGCATTCAACATTTATTCACATTTAACCAAGCGCATTTGATCAACAACACCTGGTTGCTACTTACCATCTTAATTCCCATAGAAGCACTAAGGTGGCGCTTAACAAATTGCTTCTGCTTTTTAACTTACTTTTTACAAAAAAGTAAGTTAAAATGCCTTTTTAAATTATTATTTATTTAATTAACAAATTGTGGGACACTATAATATGTCATTAGTTGTATTTAAATAATTTAAGAACCTGATATGGACTGTGTTATTTATAATTATTATTATATAATAATGTCCTAATAGATAAAACCTTAGCATGTGCTTTCTGTGCCACTTGACTGGACATCACTTCTTCTCAGTTGACCGCTGTAACCCACACCTGGATTCTGATCTACCTTTTTTCCCATAAACACTTGAGCTTTTTTTTTTTTTTTTTTGTAAATACTAAGCAGTTTGAATGTGAATTAAACTCAGTGCTGGCTTGGGATTTTTGTGTAATATTTGTGGGGGGGGAGGGGGGGTGTTGTTATTCAGGCAGCATGGGGTGTTCTGTTGTTGCTCTGTGTGGGGTAAAGTATCTGATTTGATTGCAGCCTTGGAAATCAGTCCAGCAGAAGTAATCAAGATAATTTCAAATATTAGATTCGATGTTTGATGATTAAACTGATTATTTGAAGCTCAGATCATGACTACTGAGATCATGATCTTATCATTATGAGAGAATCGTTGCATTTTACTGTGTGTTGTTTCGATGCAATGACTCTAAAATAATCATTGTGTAACTGTTGTTTACTTACCTTGAGTTTATACAGACTTATGGTACAGTATAACTTAGAAGTGTTATACTTTCAAATGTGAAAGTGGGATAATTGTTTTTTGTAGCAGACCCTGCACTGGAGGGAGAATGAGGACGATGTGAAAGCACAGTGCAGGACTGTGACAATGCAATGCGTGAAAACGTGATGAAATTCAGATGTGTGCCAGCTATGTGTTGGTCATGCTCAAAGAGGAGATTGTATTCCTGAGTAGCTTCTCATGGCTTCCAAGCCAAGTCTTGGCTGTGATTGTTTAGTAAACTGAATTTATTAGGCACATTTATTTTCCCTGTCAGAAAACAAAGCAGAGAGCTGCACTGTAGAGTAGGACGCAACAAAAGAACCTAATGCCAATTACAAGTGTGCATTGTTTATAGAGTAGCACCTTGAATGCCAAATCTTGGATGATGGTAGAAAAAAGCTGATGCATAAAGGACACCAGGTGCATTTGTTAATAGTTTCAGATTTTTATATAGTGATTGTGAACAAGCAGGACACTTCATCTGCTGTTACTGAGCTTGCTCTATCAGCAAGCAAGTGTCCAAAAAGTGCCCCCATCGTGCATGGAAGTATCATTGTTCAGAAACAATGTGACTTATACTGTATGTGTTTTATATGTACTTTAGATCCTCCGTATAAGCAAAGATATATCCAAACCATTCACCGTGTCTCTTGCATTTTGGCATTTTGAACATTATTTTTTGTTGTATGTTATTTTGCAGCACATGTCTTAAATGAATCTATAAAAATGGGCTCCAGATTTTAATGATTTACTGATTTAACAAATCTTTTTTACTCCTTCTTTTCAGAGCCTCAGTCTACTGAGCTCACTGGGCTCTTTGTGGAGAAACCGCCGGATAATGTAGTCGCTGTCGCAGGTTAGATACACAAATGAATGCTTGTGTTATTGCTGTCTCCAGTAATCCGTAATATGCAATCTGAGTATATAATGTCATGTGAATTAACTGTTGCTTGTGAATGGCAGGAACGGATGTCACTTTCATAGCCAAGGTCGACTCCACCAGCCTGACAAGAAAACCCACCATGAAATGGTTGAAGGGCAAGTGGCTGGACCTTGGCAGCAAGGCTGGAAAACATTTGCAGTTCAAAGAAACTTACGACAGAAATACTAAAGTGTGTGTCAAAGAGAGACATAGATATTTTTTTTGTACCGTGTTGGCCGATCCTCTTCCTTCAGAAATAGCTAAGAACTAATGAATATTTTCTCCCTAAGATCTATACTTATGAAATGAAGGTCATCAAAGTGGTCCCTGGAGACGCTGGTGGTTACAGGTGTGAAGTGACTTCAAAAGACAAATGTGACAGCTCCACCTTTGAGATCTCTGTTGAGGGTGAGTGAAAACAGACTCGCGCCTGCTAAGGCTGCCACGGATTCTATACATACTGATGTTTTGATCTGATCCAGGAATAATGTGCGTTCTCTGCAACTTCTCTTATTACAGCTGCACATCAGGACGAGCAGGCAGATATTTTGTCTGCCTTCAAGAGAGCGTAAGTGCTCTGGGGTTTGTGTTTCATCTTGTGGAAAATGCATGCATAGACTTTTTAAAATGTTTTTTTCTGTGTATATATGTGTGAACATGTCTCACAGCACATTGGTTTGACAGTATAGTACACTTAATGTTGTGCCATGGCAAAATGCATTATGTGTGTTACAGTTAGTCTGATTCTGTACATGCAGTGACGCTGGAGAGGATGAGGGAGATCTGGATTTCAGCGCTCTGCTCAAAGCTGCTAAGTGAGAATCTTGACATTGTTTTGTTTATCGAGGAGACAGTATGATTTCCTCATTGTATTTTGTGCTTCTTCTGCCCTACCTGTTAAGAAACCCCCTTTTATTTCTCTGCCAGGAAGAAGAAACCTGAAAAAGTAGAACCAGAGATAGATGTGTGGGAACTGCTTAAGAGTGCCCACCCAAGCGAGTATGAGAAAATCGCCTTTAAGTATGGCATCACTGACCTGAGGGGCATGCTGAAGCGTCTGAAAAAAATGAAGGCCGAGCCTGTTATACATAGCGAGGGTAAGTCGGGTCAATTAACGGAAGGGAGGGGAAGAAGTGGAGGAGTATTGCAAATATGATTGAGAGGAAAAGGATAGAAAGAAGAAGGCAAGAGGATGGGCACTATGAGGCTGAGCGGGTATGACATACGTGAGTTAATGAGTTAATTTAAGGTTTTTCTCTGTGTGTTTTCAACTACAGCTTTCCTGAAGAAGCTTGAATCTTGCTACTCAGTGGATAAGGGCAAGAAAATTACCCTGAGGTGTGAAGTGGTGGATCCCAATGTTCAGGTCAAATGGCTGAAGAATGGTCAGGAGATCAAACCCTCAGCCAAGTATGATTAAAAGCATAAACACACACACACACACCAGTTATCCACACGCATCTTTTTGTGTGCTTTGTACAGGGTACGGCTTAATTAAACAGTAGTGTGTCATATCATCAGATCATCAAGCTTAGATTGACTTGGTGGGCAGTGCTTAAAAATATCAAGCTAAAATTATCTGTGCGACACAGTCAGAAACGATGCTGCCATCAACATGTTTTATTTTTAGGCAGTCATAAGAGGCCTCCCAGTGGGTTAAAGCAAGTCATACTGCCAAGACATCATATGCCCCAAATCCAGAAACTCAAGCAGGACAAAGATCTCTGTTTCCTTAAATGTCCCAATGTGGGAAAAATACTGTATCCTGGCAGAAAACTGTAATATATGTGTTGGCTTTGCTAGACAAAATATGTACCACTGCAACTGTCATAAGATTGATTCAAATCCACATTTTAAAACGGAAGGATCTGATACTATACAGTAGTGGAAATACTTTCAGAGGTGCTTTCTTTTTGATGAAAAAACACTGTCTTTTTAAGGTATATCATGGAGACGAGCGGCAATGTCAGAACACTCACCATAAATAAGGCAACCCTGGCAGACGATGCTGCATATGAGTGCGTGGTTGGGGAAGACAAGTGTTTCACAGAGGTGTTTGTCAAAGGTGCACTTTCTCTTCTGCTTGTTTGGTAACAGTAGCGATCTGAGAATACAGTAAAGCAGCACGTCTTGTCCCAAAGCATGAAAAGTGAAGTTTCAGTGCTTGGTTCATGAATTGTAAAATCTTCCTCTGTTGTGTTCAGAGCCCCCTGTGACTATCACCAAGCTGATGGATGACTATCACGTGGTTGTGGGAGAAAGAGTGGAGTTTGAGATAGAGGTGTCGGAAGAGGGTGCCCACGTGATGTGGTGAGTGAAATTCACATTATCAGCAATAAAGATTCAGGTTATGTACATATGCTGAAAGTTTTTTAACTTGTTCTTTTTACAAAAGCATTTAAAGCAGGGGTGGGCAACTCCAGGCCTCGAGGGCCGGTGTCCCTGCCGGTTTTAGATGTGTCCTTGAACCAACACAGCTGATTTAAATGGCTAAACTAGCTCCTGCAGTTCTCCAGAGGCCTGGTAATGAACTAATCATGTGATTCAGGTGTGTTGACCCAAGGTGAGATCTAAAACCTGCAGGACACCGGCCCTCGGGGCCTGGAATTGCCCACCCCTGATTTAAAGTCACATGTAGAAAACAATAGTTTTCACAGGACTCCATAAAGTTCTCCAAAAAACGTAAGAACACCATTACCGCGTGCATAAGAGGACAATACACTTGATTAGTTATCAATTAGTCATCAATCAGCAAGTGTGAGCGCTATAAAAGAAAAGATTTGGCAGTTTGGTGATCTGAAGCATTCAGATGTACATTAACACAATGTCACAATCTTCCCAGGAGCAAATGTCTCAGCAAAGTCGCCCCAAAGTTAGTCCATGCAATACTCAAACCTGCAAAAGATGAATCTACAGGCCTCTTTTAGCACCTAAAATGATAAGATTAATGAGAATAAGATTAGAGTAAGATTGAACAAGTGTGGCTTGTTTGGAAGGGTTGCCAGGGGAAAGCCTCTAAAAACAACATGGCAGCACAGCTTAGGTGTAAAAAGTTGCATCTGAATCAGCTACAAGACTTCTGGAACAATGTACACTGTACAAAGGCCAAATTGTAGATGTTTTGCTATAATACACGGGGCCGTGTGTGGCAAAAACTAAACACAGCATATCAGCACAAACACCTCAAACCAACTCTCAAGCACGGTAGTGGAGGGTTAATGATCTGGCTGACCATGAACTCATCTGTATATTAAAGTATTCCTAAGTCAAATGTGAGGTGACTTAGCCCAAATTTGGTCATGCAGCAGGACAATGATTCTAAGAACAGCAGGAAGTGTTGTAATGACTCGGTCAAAGTTCAGACTTCAACCTAAAATGCTGCGCTGGAACCTTAAGAGAAACGTGACCTTCTCATCTTCATATCAGATGAAACTATATTGTAGGAAATCTTGGTTCTGGTCAAAATGTGTGGAGGCTATTTGATCTGCTTGATTCAGGAGATTTTGTCACAAATTCAACCAAATGTGTAGATTTTGATATGGAAGTTAGATGGCTTTGAACATCGTCAGTCAACAAAAGCATTTCAAGCTCAAATTCTGAAGTTTATTTCAGTTTGTTTCACTGGAGTTTTTATTTTTGAGATAATTTTGATACAGCGTCGCTAAATTTAATATTGTGTCTTCTTATTTAAAGGTGCATTTTGAAAAACCTAATAAAAAGCACAAAGAGCAAAAGAATGAAATTAATTATATTTTTAAAAACGTGGTATACACAGCTAGATTTATATTATCTTGTAAAATCTTGATTAATCTAAAATCATACATTTCCAAAGTCATTTTGCAGTGTGACTTGTAAAGTTAGAGCTGGTTTCACCTTACAGTTTGTTTTTAGAGAGTTTTAGTGACAACTTTTAAAAAATATCTGTTTTATATTAATTTCCAGGTTTTTTGAAGACCAAGAGATTCACAAAGACAAAGATTCAAAATATCGCTTTAAGAAGGATGGAAAGAAGCACACACTTATCATTCAGGAAGCTACACTGGATGACATCGGAATGTACCACGCTTGGACAAATGGGGGTCATACCAAAGGAGAACTGGAGGTGGAAGGTACCACATGAAATCATAATAATCTCACGTCTTTATTTTAGTTTTGAGTGAGAGTAAAACATAAACTTTTAGAAAAGCCAAGCTAATAATGATAATATTTTTAGAGCATTCACACATGTGTATCAAAAGGTAATATATATACAGTAGCCAAGGGTTTCTCTCATTTAAACGTTCACTGCAGAAGACTGCTGGCCCAAGGGCTCAGCATCTCTCTTTAAAAACAAAGTAACAACTCATGGCAGTGGGTGTCAAGATGAGTGGATCAGTGGGTGTCCTTATTTCCTCTCCTGCTACACTTACACAGTCTGTCTCCTGCCTGATCTATGCTTTTGTGGCCTTCCTCAGAAAAGGAACTGGAGGTGTTGCAGGACATCGCTGATCTGACAGTCAGGGCAACAGATCAGGCTATGTTCAAGTGTGAAGTGTCTGACGACAAGGTCACAGGAAAGTGGTACAAAGATGGCGTGGAGGTCTTGCCAAGCGAGCGCATCAAAATGACCCACATTGGAAGGTGAAAAGACGATACCAAACGGTTTTGCCTTCATGTGAACAAAGTTGGGGGGTTTTATTGACACAGATGTTTCCATAAAACTACATGATATCTTTTGCACTGCTTGTCTCAGGTTTCACCGACTGGTCATTGATAATGTGAAGCCAGAGGATGCTGGAGACTACACATTTGTACCTGATGGATATGCCCTGTCACTTTCTGCCAAACTGAACTTCTTGGGTGAGAAAGACCGAACAATTACAAAGGTCCTGCTGTGGAAAAATTAGTCACCAGCAGCCTGGATAATACTGTCACCTCTTTTCTCTTTCATAACAGAAATTAAGATCGACTATGTGCCTAGGCAAGGTAGGTACCTGTAATTTACATCTTAATTAAACATCCTGTTTATAGTTCAAACCCAAGACAGCCTACTTGATTGATGACTCTCTTTGAATGCTGTATTTTAACCAGAACCTCCAAAAATCCACCTGGACACCACTGGAAACATGGTCTCCCAAAACACTATCATCGTGGTAGCTGGGAACAAGCTTCGTCTGGATGTGGAGATCACTGGCGAGCCAGCTCCAACTGTTGTCTGGTCCAAAGGAGATAATGTAAGGGCTCCAAAAAATAGCTGCAGTTAACTAAAACTAAACTAGATATATGGACATATAGATTTAGCAAACTTAAAAATGAGATAAAATTGTAAAGGAAATATTCTTAGTTCACTAGCTGGGCCTCATTTTCAGTTTGTCAGCATTTAGGTAGGTAAAGGTGAATGGCTTGGACATGAATTGAGCTGTGGTTTTGGGAAAGCCTCAAAAGGGACTGACAGCGGCTCCTGGGCCTTGCAAGTCCCCATGTACTAAATAGAAGTGAAGAAGTTAAAGAATTGAAAAGGTGACAGAGGGTGGGGCACGTAAACGAGACGAACAGCTTGAAGAAGGCGTGGTTCTGCTCCTAATAACTAATTGCATAACTTGACAACTTAAATAATAGGACATGTGTGGAAATGAAAACTTTTTAGAATATAATTTAATGATAACATGTGGAGTTATGAGCAGACCTTAGGTGCCATCAGTGTCATACTAAGACAGCTCCCTTCTTCTTATTTTACACTCAACCTAAGTTCAGTCCAAGTGGTCCATTCATGCCCTTCTGGTTTGCACAAGTGCCACCAGCTAACACTCGTTTTAGTTCATGTGCCACCATTTCATCACTAGCAGACTGAAGTGGCAGAACAAGTGGACAGTAAAAAGTGAATAAAAAAGATAAATCTCCCTGCAGTATAAACAATACATTCTTGTAATGGTCACACTTTATGAACTATCCATCCACAAAAAAGATGATGAAAAGTCTGAGATGTCTTCAGAAAAAGAAGTGCAGCTTCATAAATGCGCCATGCCTCAGTTTTTTCCTGCTCTGTCTTCTGTCTTATTACAAAGAAACACTACTGCTGTAACTTTATGAAAAGCACTGGCACAGCTCTTTGGCTTAACCGCCTCACTTCAGTGTGGTACTGCAGGCCCTGAGTAATGTCTTTGGCTGTAAAACAGAGGATGATTCAGACCTCTGGCTTGGATAAAATTAACAGTTCACAGACAGCCCCTTCCCATGATGTGATCCACTCTTAAAGACTTGCAACACAATATTTCCTCGTGCAAAAAACAATGAACAGTCAGAAGATTCTGCCTTCAGCTGGTTTAGATATGTGAGTGGGTTTATTCTGGCCCCGAAGCCTTATGTTTGATACCCCTACTCTAATCTCTATTAGCCCAACTTTAAGTTACAAGTAAACCCTAATTGTTAGGCATGTTTTAACTGCTTTAATATCGTGTGTTAGCCAATCACAGACACTGAAGGACGTGTAAGGGTGGAGTCCAGGAAAGACCTCAGCTGCTTTGTCATAGAGGGGGCGGAGAGAGACGATGAGGGCAACTACTCCATCACTGTCGCCAACCCTGCCGGAGAGGACAAGGCTGTGCTGTTTCTGAAGATTGTGGGTAAGTGAAGGTTTTACAGGATAACATCAGCTGGTTTCCCCTCATAGTGGGCAGCAGAAAGGGGATGTTTTTTTGCAAATACCAGTTTGACCTATCTTCTCTGTTGTATTTAAATAAACTGCAATCTTTTTATCAGATGTGCCCGACCCCCCTGAGAATATCAAGTGCACAGGAGTGGGAGAGGACTGCGCCTCCATTATTTGGGACCCTCCTAAATTTGATGGCGGTGCACCAGTTAAAGGTGGAACATGCATTATATTAATTTGTTTAAGGAAAACAAAATTATTATTCAACCTGTTCATGTAACTGCATTATTACTCCACCAGGTTATCTCATGGAGAGGAAGAAGAAAGGCTCTTCCAGATGGACAAAGCTCAACTTTGACGTGTACGAATCAACCACATACGAGGCTAAGAGGATGATTGAAGGTGTTCTGTATGAGATGAGGGTGTTCGCTGTCAACAGCATTGGCATGTCTCAGCCAAGTCTCAGCTCCAAACCGTTCATGCCTATTGGTACGTTTCACAGTCGTCCTTACGTGCTCTTTCTCAGCAACTCCCTGTCCCTCCTTTGCTCAGTGAAGCCAGTCACTGATTCTCTTGAGTCTCCTTTCCTGTCATCCTCAGCCCCAACAAGCGAGCCAACGCGTCTGACAGTCCACGATGTGACAGACAGCACTTGCAGCTTGAAGTGGCTCGCCCCAGAGAAGATTGGAGCTGGGGGCCTCGACGGCTACGTTATTGAATACTGCAAGGAAGGAGGTGATAATGCCGTATATTTACGTGTAATAAATGAAAACAGCTGAATGAATGAAAAAAAGAAAGAGACACAGATCACACTTAGTTTAATTTAATACATGAAGTTTTCTTTTAACGTAGACACTGAGTGGGTGGTGGCAAACCAGGAGCTGTGCGAGAGACAGGGATTTGTGGTGCGCGGCCTCCCGGTGGGAGAGAAGATCAACTTTAGGGTGGTGGCAGTAAACATTGCCGGGCGCAGTCCTCCTGCTATAATGTCACAGCCCGTCACCATCCGTGAGATCGTCGGTGAGTGAGTCAGATTCACAGCCAAATAAAGTGAGCAAGTATAAATGTAAATAGCACATTTGGGTGTAGCATAGTTTTTCTTTGTGTTGACCACAGAGACTCATACTCATACTCATGTTATGATAAGAAGTTTAAACAGGATGTCTGTTTCTTCTTCAGAACATCCAAAGATCCGCCTTCCTCGTGACCTGAGAACAAAGTACATCAGGAAAGTGGGAGAGAAGATCAACCTGACTATCCCCTTCCAGGTTAGAAAGGATGAGTTTCTGTGCACTAATCAGTATAACAATCAGTAACAGTGATATCTTAGTGAGAACCAAATTTAGTTTTTTTCTTATGTTCTAAAAAGCATTAGAATAATAAATTAGGAGCTTACTTTAGAAAACAAAACCTAGTTTTTTAGTTTGTTTGTTTTTTTGTTTTGTGCATCGTTTTAATAATTTGAGTATTGAAAGTATGAAGAAAAAAAAACAACCTGAAGCTACATTTTTTAAGTCATAAAACTTGATTATGTTTTTGCACCACAGGGCAAGCCACGCCCCGTCGCAAACTGGTTCAAGGATGGCAAACCGCTTGACGAGAAGATGGTCAACGTGCGTAACTCAAACGTGGACAGCATTCTGTTCATTCGCTCAGCAGAGAGAGAGCACTCTGGAACATATGAGCTGGTTCTGAAGATTGAGAACATGGAGGACAGGGCCAGCATTAACATCAGGATTGTTGGTATGACTCCCAGGACTCTAGACGACTTAGCCCAACAGCACACGAGATGATGCAATATTCATCAGAGTTTAGAAGCTTACACTAATAAAAGTTTAACCCCAAACAGACAAGCCTGGGCCACCTTTGAATGTGAAGGCGACTGACGTCTGGGGCTTCAATGCAGCACTTGAGTGGGACCCCCCCAAGGATGATGGCAACTGTGATATTTCTGGATACACTATCCAGAAGGCAGACATGAAGACCAAGGTGAGAAAGGGAAATGGGGGTGTTTTCAGTCTTCGTCAGCGCCACAGTCACCTGCCAAGATGTCCAGCGAGGACCTGTATACTACGCAGGACGTTATCTCTCTGAATCATCGCTCATGACTCACTTTACCTGCAGGGACACTGCTTTCTTACTTTATTCACGTTTTTATTTAACTTTGTTGTGGTTTCAGATTAGTGGTTTCAGATTAGTTTCTTTTGGCATGGTCTATTCTATTTTATTGTGCTACATATCATTCTGCTTATTTAAGCTATTTGTTATATACTGTTTAACTTAATTTTTAACTTTTGCAATCAAGGATTATTCCTAACTCCAAGTTAAAATAAAACCTTTTAACAAATGCGGCCTTTCTTTTGTTCTCCACATAGACCGTTTTATCGGCATGCTGCCAAAGCCTGCTCAAGCGTGATTGGTCAACAGAACGTGATATACAAGCAAACCAGAAATCTTGGCCCCTGCCTACAGATTATGCAGACATCTGTTTATATAAACAGTTTATAGCTTAGTGGATTTATGAAGAGCTGCAGGTCTTGCGAGTCTGTTTGACCAACCTGCTTCATGCATTCAAAGCAGAGAGATCACAGCTGACAGGATGAAGTGTGTGCTTTGGCTGCATTCGCACAAAAGCATATTTATTTATGCTTTATGGAGAATTACAGAATAACATGCTATTTATCTGATTCACTGATTTGTTCTGGCCAATCCTGCTTACTCTTGTCGTCTTTGCATCAGAGAAGGAGCCAAATCTGAATCTTGGGTTTGCTAACATTAGCTACCAAATGCTGCTTCTTTTACCTTTAGCAACACTTGGTTTGTTCTCCATGCTAGATTTGTGGGGGATTTTGTGGTTTAATATAATATTATCACTTCTTTTCTCTTTCTAGGAATGGTTCACTGTTTATGAGCACAATAGACGAACAAACTGCACAGTTTCGGATCTGGTCATGGGCAACGAATACATGTTCCGCATCTACAGCGAAAATCTCTGTGGCCTGAGCGAGGAGCCGCGCATGAGCAAGAACACGGCTGTGATTGGCAAAACAGGTATGACAGTGTTTCCAATATTTACATGCAGTTGAACACATATTTAGGCCTAAAATGCTGATTTTAAGTCATCTAAATACATCTGAGTTAGCCAAGTTATAAGTACAGTGTAAGCCATTTATTCCAGTGGTGTTTGGTCTTTAGTTCATTGGTGTATATTCAGTTTATACCAACCATATTATCCTTAATGATTTTCTATTTAATAAATAAGTAAACTTTTGATTTCATATACTCATGCTGCATATAATTCAAAGAAGTACTTTATATTTTTAGTGGCAAAGTTGTATTTTTGTTGTTCTTTTTAAACATGTGAGCTGCATGTTTAAGTTCATACAGTTCATTTCTGATTTTTGCAACCTTTTTTCCCTGATTTACTTCCCACCCTCTTCTGAAGGCTTGGAACTCAAATCAAAGCCCTACAAGGAGAAAGACATGTGCTGCTCTCCCAAGTTTACTCAGCCGCTGATGGATAGAAGTGTTGTGGCTGGTTACAGCACTGCTATCAGCTGTGCTGTCAAAGGCTTTCCTAAGGTAAAAGCACATGTTAAAAATTGAGTCCACTAATTAGCCAAGAAGTTTTAGCTTTAGCTTTCTTAACTCAGCTTGTTCAAATCTTAGCCTAAGATTGTCTGGATGAAGAACAAGATGATTATTGGGGAGGATCCCAAGTACTTGATGCAGAACAATCAAGGAGTTCTGACCCTCAACATTCGAAAGCCCAGCACCTTCGATGGAGGGAAATACTCTTGCATGGCTGTCAATGAACTGGGCAAGGATGAAGTGGAGTGCACACTTGATGTCCGAGGTAAGAACACTGGGCAACCGTCTGAGCGGGTAGAGGAGGACAGATGAAGGAACAGGAGGAACTTTGGTTATTTTAGGACAGGATGAGTCTTGATGGTTCTGCTAAACACTTTACAACAAAACAATGATTGCCATCACACTTGGACTCCAATCTAACAAAAGCTGACAACCACTATCTCTCTTGTTCTTTCACAGTTTACAAAGAGCCAGAGAAGTGAGAAACTGGACAGCAACGAATATGAAATTCAAATTATGAGCCAAACAGTGAATGTAAGCAGTGGACGTCACAATGAGGAGAGCACACTGTCAAGATTGAATCAAATAAAATATAGTGATCCTTGCTGTAAAAGTTGTTTATTCTGATTACATTTTATGTCTGTTAAAAAATTATTTCATGATTATTTATGTATATTGTGTATTCTTTATGAAGGCTCAAATCTGCTCAAGCACACAATAACTATCACGATCATATTACAGTGAACATTAGTTGGGAAGCATTTTTATATTTATATATTTCATGGTACAAGTGTGTCAATCATCTCTGCTACACTTCCCTGGAGTACTGTCCTCTCCGCCTGAGGATTATCACCCCTATACTGAATAACAGCGCCACCGCCAGGAGTCCCACAGCCACTGCAAGAGCTGTTATGGTACCTGTGGGAGACAACAACTGTTTAGCTATACATGGCAAATATCCAAAAGCCTTGATATGTTTAAATGAGGCAGTGTGTTCTGAATAATCCCAGACAATCCCCCCCTCCAAAAAAACCCCCCAATAATAATAAACATGTTGCAGAGAAACCTGGTGGCAACACCAAATACAGACATAGACACAGATTATAAACTTTATCTTATTCACCTGTGCTTGACCATTTTGTCTTAAACCCACACTCGGCCTGCCAGTCATCTGCCAGTACGTCCTTCACCAGCTCATTAAACAAGGATAAAGGACAAGGGCTCAACCCGTTACATTCTGGCACAGGGTTGGGGTAGGGGTTGTTCCGAGAGTCATTGTGGTAGTGCAGCTCCACAGAATAGGATCTGGGTAATTATTAGGACGAATCCAATGAGAGGACACACATCTGTAAGTGTTATGCAAATGTATTTGTATTATGTGATGCTTTCACAACTGCAGCCCTGGGCGGCTGCCAAATTTCCTCAGATCACAAAGGAAAGGTATTTGCTCGGTGCATCCAAACAGAAAACCGCGATACCTCAAAATGTGGTGGGCATCTGACCTACATAGTGTGCTTGAATATGCAAAAGAGAATAGTGCAGGAAATAAAACTGGAAGGAAGTCATTACCCATCATGCTCCTGGTAGAACTCAAAGAGTTGACAGGCAGCGTAAGGAGGAAGAAGCCCGTTATACACGTCCAGAGCTGCCTGGAGGGTGATGAGTGTAGAGTCATGCTGGAACGAGGAACAAGCACCAAAGCAATAAGAAGGCGAGGAGATACAGTACATCAAGCAGCAGTTTACACAGCAGATTATAAATGTGTGCTCGTACACAAGCAATGCACTTACAGCTGAGTACATAATGAATTTGAGAGTGCTCCCTTGCGCTACAGCCTTAGAGAAATTCCTCAGGATGGCATTCAGCAGGACCCCTGGAGAATTACCACAATGTCAACAGTGCAAATTAATTTTTCTCACATACCAAGACAATCCTTTTGACCTTATTGAGCATCCTGTCTTGGCCCTGTAATCATCTTTGTCCCATTAGCTCATATGTGCTAATAAACAAAGCTTCGGCCAGCAGTCACATGAGATAAACAGAGCTTCTTCTTCTTTTTTTTCCTCTTGAGTGCTCTAAATTAATTGCCTCTAATGTGAATTCCCACCTCCCGAGAGCCTGGCCTTCTCTTTTCGCTTGTGACTGAGGATGCTGTACATGACCTCAAAGGAAGCTATTCTCTTCAGGGTGTCCAAGACCTCTTGGGTGGCCCAGCGTGGCAGAGTCAAGTTATGAATCCTCTGCAAAAGAGAAGAATGTTCATTACGGCACTGCCTTACGCTAATAATCACATTATACAACATGGCAGCAAACGAGGTTTAAATGGCCGTACTTTATAGTTTCTATTATCCCGTCTATTTTTAGCACCAGTCTGAAGATAACAGATGCTCATTTTGCAAGTTTGAATGAACATATTCAACCTGGCCTAGAATCCACCCATCTCATTATGCTTTAATTATCATTTCAATATGTTGCCCCATTCGTCTTTTACTGTATGCATAAAGTGATTTCCCCGCACTCCTACCCTCGCTCTATTTCTCTGGAGATACTTTGACGAAAGCACATTATTGTTCCTTTTTTGTGTTTTTCTCTGTCACTTCTCTGCATCTGGGTTTTGTAGCAGCTTGTAATGTGCATAATACAGGTAGCAGAAATATTTGTGGGCTTGCTTTAAAGTATACCTCACAGTTAAGAGTGTCGTGGACCCTCCATATTTTTTTACCAACCAGCTTGGACACGGGGTAGCCAGTGTGGTTAGAGAGAGCCTCCACAAAGTACTGCACAGGGAAGAAAAGAATAAGGACATCAGTTTAAACTCTTTAAATAATAAGGCTCAAGGGAACACAACAGTTTAATTACCATTTTTATGAGTAACATTCCATTTATTTATGGATATTTGTCCAGGCACACTGATTAGATATCTATTTTAGGGGTTTATAATCAAAAATTGCATAAATTAGCATTAGTAGTTCATTAATGTGGCGATGACTGTAAGTTTAACCTTTGGTCAGATAACACGGTGATACGTGGCACCAGTTTGGTTTGTGTATATACCTTGCAGGTACTCTGCCTCCAGCAGAGGGTGTTAAAATTCAATGCAGGATGCCCTGGCCTGATCTCAACTATCACCCTAATAGGCCGCATGTGGGACTCCATTTAATTAAAACCATTTTATTGTAATTCTTAATCTAATTCAATCTAACCGTTAATTAGTGTCTCTGAGAATGTGAGAGAAATTGCACTGTGCAGCTTTTCGTAGGCACTGGAGTCACCGTGCCTGAGAAAATCACTGAGAGGACATGATGTCTTCAGCATAACAAACACGTCTACTAGAGGTGCTGATTACGTTGACATCAACAACTGTGAAGTATATACTTACTGAAATAGGCATTTCAGCATGTGAGTTAATTTACAAATTAGGGCCGGGATAAGCAGACCAGGAGAGGCTGAGGTAAGGACACGATTTTGTTTGCAGCAATTTTGATTGTGTAAGCCTGATGATATTAAACGACGGGGTTACAAACAAGTTTTCACTGGTTAGCAGGCACATGACTCACGGAAAAGATATGCTGAACACAAACTGGGCTGTGAGCATTCACGTCACTGAACAGATGCTGATGGGCTACAGAACAGTGTATTTAGAGGTCTGTCTGGCTGTGTGGAGACGGCCTTTGTCTTACCTGGTGAGCTTTAAGGAACTTCTGGTAGGGATGACTCTCGAAGGTCTCCGTCATCATAGCGCTGAACCTTGGACAGTCTTTACCTGGAGACCTCAGCAACTTTAAAACAGCAGTTAAACATCAGTGGAAATAATGAACGTTAACTCGAGGTACTTCTTGTGGGCACAAATGTATGCTCATTTCACACTTTAACACTGTGGGGAATCACAGCTGGGATGCACACAGATGGCCGCATGGAGCTACAGAGAAAAGCCCAAAATAATTTATACAATTTTGTAATCAGCTTTGCGTGGCTGCTGCTGTGAAAAGAAAATATTTATGTGGCTCAGCAGCCCACCTTGTCGAGGGCTCTGGGGATGGTGTGCACTGGAATAGGCCGCCACAGTAACTGGGGCATGATGGGTCTGGTTTGGGGGAACATCCCAGCAAGGCAAGCCTGGGCACTCATCAGAGTGCGGTCGTAGTCAGTACTCCGCACATATATCTGTTGTAATCACAGAGAGTACATGGCATTAAAAAGCATTCATATGCTGGTACTGGAGTGGTTTCACTGATCCGACTATGTGCTGTGTTCTGGGGTAAATGAGGCTTACGTTTCTTTTCTACATTTAGAAATCTCATTAAAGTTTTTGCCTTTATTTTTGCAAGCAGTACTCATCCCAAGTCAACTGAGGTACTTCCTTAACCCAAATAGTCATAGAAGAGTCAAATGAATGAGAAGGAAAGGGGAGGGGGGGACAATCTGTCTTGCTGTGATCTCTTCTGACATCAGTCTTCCCTCTTCTATAGCTCTCTGTCACTCTCTATCAGGTTTTTACACATCATAAATCAAGCAGATAAGGTTGGATGTTCTTGTGATACCAGGAGTGCTTCTGTTTTGCCCCCCTTTTGTGAACGTAAAACAGACATGGCAACACGCGAAAAGGTATGGCACAAGTTCACTGAGATTTAGGCAAGAGATTGTCAGTGATAAGTTCTGAGAACAGCTGTCATTAGTTGTGGTAATTGTGTTTTGTTTAAGAGAGAAAGACGAGCACTTAAAGCAAGAGAAAAAGGAAGGTAACGAGTATGACAAAGCAGAGGCAAAAAAGAAATTGCAAATCTCTTATAATGTCAGTGTGTTTAGGATCCAGCACACAGAAGCTGCATATTTGCTGACAGCTGTACTTTACATGAAGCCCACGGGCTACATTACCCTCCCATGTTTAGCACACTGCACGGTCATGACAGTGAGTTCACCAAAATGAGTCAGGCTCATTAACTTATTGTATGTTTTTACAGACGTGACAGATGGTGACTGCTCGTACGCGCACTTGATTTTACAGGGCACGCATGACAAGAGGCTTAGGAAGCTCACAACAGAGTTCACCTAAACAAAGATGGGGAAGGAAACAGCAATTAACACGCAGATACGCATATGTGTTTGCATACACAGATACACCTACCTCTTTGCTGTTATAGTCTTCACTGAGGAAATTTCCGTAACGCCTCCTTAGAAACCGGCCGAGTTCAAACTGCTGTTTCATGCCCAGCTGGAAGGAAAATTGCCAGCATTTTACATTTTTAGCAGAATTTGACCTTTTGACTGAAAACGCTGCAGATTTATGGTCCTAATCAACCTTTTTACATAGATAAGCAACTTTTACCCTGTTACCAGTGTTTCTCAAAGACAAAATAATGAGTTTATACACTGTAAAGCAGCTAATTGCCCGACAACAGAGCAAAGTCACAGGAGGAAGGAATTTAATTAAAGCCCGAAGTCTGTTAAAAGTGTATTTTATAGTGAAAGATTTTAAGTAAATGAATTCAGCAGTTTTTGAAGTACAGTGATGCATTCATTGTGTTAAGCCTGTGATCCTCCTGTTTATGAATTTCTTGTCAAATTATAAGCATAAAGTCTCTATTATTATTTTTCTTTTGTTTGACTTTTTCA